TGTATTGGGAAGGATTCAGAGATGAGCTATCAGAATAATCTGATGGTGACAAAAATGTGGCTTCAAAACGAGAGAAAAGAGAGGCCTCAATATCAGTACGCAGGCATTGTGGAGTTTCTTCCCACCTTAGACTTGCTTGCAGAAGGTGGAATTCCCAAATATTCAAGGGCATGATACCATCCACTGGTCCAAATCAGTGAAATTCAACCAGGATATAAGGTTTTAAGAGTTGGAGCAGTTTGCCAAAGGACGTGGTGAATTCTTCGTTGTTTTAAGTCAAGGCTTGATTTCTCTCGAGATATGTTCCAGTTCAAAAAACAAGTTCTGACTCTATATTTAGGCCTCACTAATGAAATTTATGGCTTGCTTTAGTAGGAATTGAGACTACAGTGCCCCTTCGAATCCTAAAATTTGCAAGTCTCTTAAGACTTTTTTGGTAATCAGTTACTTCATTTGATATCAGAAGAGGCCAGAAGTGAGCCTGTGGGGCAGCAATCACAAAAAAGATGGTTGTGGCTCACGCTGACCTGTGGATGGCAATCTGTCCCATTCCTGGAAACCAGTTTCTCATTCCCGGTAAGCCAGCAGACGTGCTGCCGCCCTCCACCCCTGCTCTCACCTATGGCCCATACCCCGTATGGGCAGCGAGGTGCTGACCACGTAGACCTGCACGCAAGTTCCTGCAGGCAGCAGCCTTTGTGGATGCATCCAAAGGCAACTCCAATGCAGATGCAAGACGCTCTCCCTGCGTCACAGCAGGTTGCGTATAGGAGCCTAAATTGCCTTTCATTCTCTTTATGTTGCACCATTACGCAAATGGCTGTGTGTATAATCTAAAATCACACCTGTGGGTGCCCAGACTTGCTAAGCAGTTTACGGCAGATCCAGATCCAGCTGGGTTTTAGAGCCTCAGTGAGAGCTGCAGGCATGAAGCCTCTGTTTAGTGCCCACACCAGCAGGAGGGGCTTCTTCCACCCTCTGTGCAGTCCCCAGGTCTGAAGACCAAAGACTGAGAAGGGTCTTGGGCAGTTGCCTGTGAAGGGGACGAGCTGGGCAAGCCCCTGCTCCACGGGACATTACTTATTGACATTAGGCAGAAATGTTGGGTGAGAGGAGGGTGGCATCTCAACCTGGTTTACAGCTTAGAAATGAGGTTCTTGAATGAACCATGTGTTCAGGTTATCCCAGGCACTGGAGACAAGTGACTTGAGGTCTTCCATGCCCTGGGTGTATGCATTAAGCCCTAAGTTACAGAGAAACAAGGAGGACTTATCAGCTTCACAGCCCTTCTTTTTCTCCATCTTAAAAGAATTTCTGCTTCATTTTGTTTGAACACATGTTTTTCAATTTTCTAGTTTGCTAAGAAAAATCTCTGGCAGAGGGGAATCATTTTGTCTCAATTAATTGTGACAGCACTGCCTATTCATGGGGCTCTATTTAAATGAAACCAAGGATAGGCTGAAAAACTCATGGTAACAAAAGTGCAGCTGCACCTCTCAGCATCAGTGTGCCCCGCTGGAGTGTCTTTCTCTGGAAAAAAAAACAAAAACAAAAACAAAAACAAAAACTGAGCATGTAGTTATAGGGAATGCTGGTCATAGCCCTGTGCCGATCCATGGAATCTGTGATACAAACGATGATATTCATCTCGTACCAGAGTCAGCAAACTCGCACCGCTTTGCTGACTTCAGACCGTTGTTTGATACATGGCGGGGAAGATTAAACAAATTAGATACTGTTGTTATTAAGAGGGTTTTTTAGGACAAGTTAATTCTCCTGTCGCACATTATATGCTTTTTCTCATTTCTTTTATGAGAAAATTGTCTTTTTAGATAGCTGATTTATTCACATTCCTAGTCTTCAAAAATCTGTAAACTCTGTAGTGCATTATCACTTGAATAGGCCAAATAATTATTTGAATGCCTACCCACAGACAGTTAGCTTTCAGGAAAATTGAGGCTCCAAGAAGAATTAGAGAGAGCTACCAACCTCATTGAAAGCTATAAATAGGCATTTCACTCCGGGTTCTTTCAGCAACGAGGACTTTTACGTGATTGTTAACTTACTGTGTCAAACCTAAGTGTCATGGTTAATTTAGAATGATATTTCCTGATTCTGATGTTTGAGTTTTTACAGTCGAAGATATTCATTGGGTTTGTGAAGGCGATCTGAAAGTGGGACTTCTGAGAGGAACCTCACTGAGCGCAGCCAGAGGTGTAGCTCCCCTGAAGCCCTGCATCCTGCAGGGATGGAGCGTGTGGAGGGAGATGTATTTATGGGGTAGATTTACTTACCCTGGGATAACATCGCAGACGCCAATTGGACAAGTACCTGCACAGAGGAATGGGGAAGGCAGCTGTGTTAATTGCAGTAATGTTATCAGAGAGGCTGGAAAGCTGCTTCTGCACTACTCCAGGTTACACCCTGCCCGGTCTGTCATGCGTGTCCCTCTGGGGAATTTTTGGTGCTGTTCCAGCAAAGTTAGAAGGAAATATTGGGAGAAATGTTACACGTTTCAGAATGAAGTGGTTCAGTAAAATACAGCTATACAAAACTTTGACGCTAAGAAAACTAATAAGAGGTTGTCCTTCAAAGCAGATCAAAAGAAATTAAATGAGTTCTGAACTTCTGGTGCATTTGTGAGATGGGCAATGTAAAGTTTTACAGTTAAGATTTTTTTGTGTGTATTTTCATTGCTTTTGTAATTGGACAGCTATTGTAGGAAGGAATGACACTGAAATTTGGAGATTTACCTCCTAGGCCTTGATTTTTTTTAGAACATCAACCTTTTAATTGGACTTAATTTATTTTTGATTACAATTTTATAATCAACTAAAGACCATATAAATGTGTGAGAACTTTTCTAATAGCAGACTGGCTCTGGTTGGTGGTAGAAAACACTGGTGTTAGGGTGGATGTTAGTAAGACCTTCTGGGCTGACAACTGGCAACCTTTCATAAGTCATACCTTTCATGGAAAATGGCTTTTACAAGAACTGATGGCCTCCATGTAAAACTGCACAAAATCCTTCACATCTCCCTTTTCAACTCACCTTAATTCTGCAGTGTTTTGGAAGGATTGGGAGGTTTAGAGCTGGAAATGATTATTTGTTTGTTGTTGTTTAAGTTCTGGGCACCTGGAGATTATGAAAGTAATAATTCACGTTTTATGTTTAATTTTTTTGGTTTCTAGGATACAAATAAGAATTAAAACATGCTAGTCCCTTCAGCTGGCTTAAGCTGGCGAGGGTTCAAGACAGCCACGCAGGTTTACAACAGCTAAGGATCCGGCCCAGTTATTTTTAATACTCATGCGTCAAAATTGTCCCATCCCAATTTGCTTTTAAAGCATCCTTGGAGTAAGACACTATTTACTCAGGCCGTATTTGTCTTGAGTGCACTTTTACGGAATAGCCACGAGTACCAAAAAGGCCACGTCTGTAATGAGAACCGTGCCAGACAGACCGACCCCCTCGGGGGATGCCGTCCAACAAATCGATCCGACAGCTCCCGACCGGAGCGGAGCGGGGTTTTGCGGAGACAATACGTGCGTTATATGCTCCCCTTCAGCTGCGCTCAGCCTCACTTCAGCCAAAGAATGAGACTGTTTCAGGAATCGTGTAAATACGGGCTCTGCAAAGACTCAGCCTTCCTGTTTGGAAAAAAAAAGAGAATTTGAAATATCTGAGAAAACAGGGACCTACGTGTGAGAACGGGGCAAACCGGAGCGGGGGGGTGGCAGGGAGGAACGGGGAAGATGGAGCGAGGTGGTGACACAATGGCAGAAAAAGGGACAGAAATGGAGTTCTGGGAGAGGAAAGGTGAAAGGAAATAAGTACAGAGAGCTGGAAAAGTAAGAAGGAAATGGAGACAAAACCCAGGCAGGGAAGGGGACTGCATGTTTCAGTGATTCTGGAGGTTTTACTGACCCTCACTGGGCTCTGATACCTTCTCTCCAGCAGGGACAGAGGTTCCCAAAGGTGGCACCATCAGTCCTTAAACTTTGGGAGCCCACTGTGCTGCTCAGACCACGGCCTGGTGCTAGGGCTGGAAGGAGCAAATGGTGTCTGGGGGTCCCAGCTGGGATCTACTGGGATCTGGTCGTGCAGGGGGAAGCTGCCCTGTCCTCATGTCCTTGGGGCTGCAGCAGCCAGGAGGGCTGGGAAGGGGCAGGGGCTCCAGGGGGAAGCACAGGCAGGAGGGGTGCAGGACTTTGAGGGGATTTGGGCTGCAGAGCGCCCTGATGCTGACACAGGTCCACAGAGAGCTAAGGTAAAGCGCACAGAAGCGCTTCTTTTTTTCTCAGCATTGGCACTTGTTGGGCTGGCTGGTGTTGGTTCTGTTCCTAGAGGGCCAGTGGGGTGAATTTGGGTCAATGTTCCTCTTTCTCAGCCAAAGTGAGGTGCAGCCTGCGCATCCCCCCAAAACAGGCATGCCCACTGCATTGCTGGGACTCAGCAGAGGCTGGCTAGGCGACTCCTGTTCATGGAGGGGAACAGGGGGAGTTTGGGGTTGGGGCTGGCAGGAGAACTGCAGAGACTGCTGTGGGACAGGGACAGAGCCCCCATGACATGGACAGAGCTCCGGGACAGGGACAGAGCCCCAGGCTGCCACCAGCCGCTGCAGGCTGCCCCCGATGTGCTGTGGGATGTGCCCCCACCTGCTGCAGGGTGCCCCCACCTTCTTGCAATGCTCCCAGCCCCTGCAGGACATCACCCCAGACGTGCTGTGGGACACCCCCTCCATTTACCAGTCCGCTCCCGGAGGCTCCCCCAACAACCCCCTTGGGCGCTGCCCCCGGCACTTTGCGGGATGCCCTCCAGCAGCCCTGGGACACCCCCCAGCCCCTCCTCGGGCTGTCCCCCGAGCCGTGCCGAGCCCCCCGTTGCCTCGGTTGTCCCCCCCCCCCCCCCCCGGGCTCCACCAAGCCCCGTGGCTCGGAGGGGTGCGCGCAGCATCCCGCTGCCGGGGCGGGGGTGACTCACGGCGCGGCGCACGGCAGCCCCCAGCTTTATAACGGCCGGGGCGGCACCGAGCACCGAGCCCGGCTCCTCTGCGCCTCTCCGAGCCCGAGGGGGAGAGCGGGGGGCCGCGGCCGAGGGCCGGCACCATGCGGAGCCTGCGCGGAGCCCCGCCGCCCCTGCCCGTGCTGCTGCTGCTGCTGGGGCTGGGGCTGGCGGCGGGGCGCGGAGCCGTCATCACCGGGGTGAGAGGCTCGGCACGGCTCGGCATGGCACGGCACGGCTTGGCACGGCTTGGCACGGCTCCGACGGCACCGACGGGACGGGCCGGTGCCGCTGCGGGGCTCTGCCGGGGAGCGGGGGCGGCCGGGGAAGGGGTGCGGGGATGGAGGGGGTCTCCCCGCCGGAGGGATGCTCCCAGCGCCGGGGGATCCCCGGGATGAACGCGACGGGGGTGGAGGGGCTCTGATGTGCCGGGGGGGGACACACACTGAGGGTGTCCCTGCGGGATGGGGTGTCTGGAGATGGGGGGTCATTGGGGTGGGGGACAGGAGAGCTGGGGGGGTTCTTTGGGGTGGCTGGTGCCACCGTAAGGGGTCTCCGTGCGGCGGGAGATGCTGGGGCTGGCGGCTTCCTGGGGCTGTGGGGTCTGTCCCGGGGGTATGGGGTCTGTCCCGGGGCACCCGTCCGCCCCTTGCACACCCCAGCCCCGGCTGCCCCCCCCCGGGCCGGTCTCGGGGTCCCCCCCTGCCCGCAGCCCCGCTCCTGCAGCCCTGCCTGCTCGTAAGGCAGGCGCCGGTATTGCAAGCACCACAAAACGCTGCTCTTTCGCCTCTTTTCTTTTTATTTCTCTCCCCCAAGTCTGACCGTGCTGCTTCTTCCCCTCAGTAGCCGCCCGTCGCAGATGAGCCCTCTGTTGTTGTTGTTGTTGTCGGGCTCGAGATTTACTCTGCTTGTGAAAATATTTTTTTTCCAAAGACGTTATTTAACCCGAAGCGTTGCATCACTCTTAAGTAAAATGATTTTTTTTTTTTTTTTCTTTCGTGTTTGCTTTGGATTAATAACCCGGCGCTTGCATTCTTGTGAGAGCTCACATGTCTTTTGTAACCCTCCGAAGTTGTACTCGCAGCAGCGGGAACTCCCTGGCGGTCCAGGCTCCCAGTGCCGAGCTCCCTGAAGCTGGTGGAAGAGCTCGTAGGCACTTCTCTGGCTGGCAGATAGCTCCCAGACTGGCAGGGTTTGCAGAGGGGAGAGTGTGAAGGGATCTTTTAAAATTTGAGAATCGGAGGTTCCTTTTATATGGCAATATTTCGAGCCATGGAGGAGCGGTTTATATAAGTCTTGTCAAAGTTGTGGCTTCGCCTTTAAAACATAATTAATAAATTAAATGAAGTAACTGCGAAGCTCTGAATAAAAGATTAGAGACAGAATGTGTTGAAAAAGTAAAAATAGATTAGAAATAGCAAATGTTACTTTATTAACTGCTGCAGTGTATTTCTGCCTAAACCACCGGGATGCGTGTTTGGCTCCTGAACGAGCAGGCAGATCTCAGGTGAGAGCTGATGTAGGTGTTCCTGTCCGCATTCCCCGAGCCTGAAAGTGCTTTTCCTTTGCAATTGAAGGACTCGATTCAAACCTTCCTTACTCCTGTGGCTGTCCATGTTCCGACTTCAGCTGGCTTTGGAGCCAGCATTTCACCAGGGACTTTTTCCTCGAGCAGCATTTTCCACAGAGCCGTGTTAAATGGGGTGCTGGGGAGGAATGTCCTTCGTGTTGTGTCCTGTGCACGTTAGGAGGCTCGGTGTGAGTTACACATTGGAGTTAAGGTGTGGGCAGCAGCGTTTGGGCTGAATATTTTACTAGCCTGTCATACGTTTTTGGAAGGGGAACCTGAAAACTCCTGCCAGATGTGTATATGTGCGTGGTGAGTGTGAGCTTTAACACGAAACATCGCCCAGTGCGGGGCTTTAGGTCCCCTGGGGGTGCTGCTCACTGCTTGCCTCTCTCCCTGATGGTTTTGACCTCCAGTCCCCAAATGACCAACCTGCAGCTTTTGTGACCAGGGCAAAAATTAGAACATCAGAAGGATTTATTTTTTTTTAAGAGGTTGCAAAGTAAATACTATCTACATGGAAGGCTGCACGGGCAGTTTTGCGGACATATTACTCTTTTAAGTAAATACGCTGTGTGTTTGGGCTCACTTGTAGCACAGAGCTCTTCGCTTTGCTAAATGTGTGTCCAGGAGGAGTGCTGGCCCTTTGGGTTACACGCACTATTAGTGGCTTGACACTAATGCAGCAGCTTTTTCCTAAATTACTAGCTGCTCTGTAAATACAGATTTTGGTCTGGTGTTGCTGTTTGAAATAGTGTAATATTTACCCAGCAGAGTACAGTCTAGTGGCATTTATTATGTAAATCCCGAGGTAAGACCTGTAAGCATTTTTCCTCAAGTGGGTATTTGTTCTGATACGCAGCCTTCCCCAGAGCCCTTATCATCTGTTATGTACATTTTCAGAAATTGCCTGTTTATGTACTGCTGACCGGAGCCTTTGGTCCAGCAGCCCTGCTGCCAGCCATGAGGAGGGCAGCAAGTTAATTAAACTCACTTTTGGGGTGTAATCAGAGCCTTTAACTAACGGGATTTCTCACTGAAGAAAGACCAGCTTTAGCACTAAACCCATATAATAACAAATCTGGTAATCTTTTGGTTAAAAAAATAAGCAAAAGGCGTGCAAGAACCTTTTCCAATTCCTAATACATCAATTGCTCTTCACGGTTTCTGGGTTTTGAAATATCCCTAATAGTTTGTGTTTTGGTTGGTACTTAACGAAGCCACGAAGTGTATTGGATAAGTGGCTGAAATTTTTATTTCCCTCTTGCAGGGTGAGTGCCTCCACTGTAGCATTTTCCTGGGTGTGGACACTTACACAAAGCTTTTTCTGCTACACGTTTGAGACCTCACGTAATTCCAAATAACCACAAAATCCTTATTTAAACTTTTATTTTGTCTACCTCCACTGGGAGTTTGCTGATGAAACTATCGAGCATTCTTGCATTTGAAAGGCACTCAGCCACAAGATATTATCGTAAGAAGGTAGATGGAATAGTTACCTAAAAATCCTTAAATTTGCGGATAATTTTGTTTCTTAGCTTCTCTGCAAGACTTCTTTGCAACTGGTGCCCTCGGTCCTTGCTCCCATTGGGGAAAGCTTGGTGGCACGGGCCATGATCACTGCAAATCAGTGACAGTCTTGGGGCTGGTCCTGTCTCTGGGGTCTGGGCTTTAAGCACAGCTTTAAACACCCTGCAAGGTGCCAGGAGCCCACACGTCCTCCTCAGACCTTATTGTCCTGCCTTAAGGAGCTGCAATAACTCGTGGGGTGTCGAGGTAGCTGTTAGGCACCTGAGCTGTCCTATCTGTGGAAGGCATTTATTATTAATTTTGTCTGCATAACTCTTTGTCAAACTGCAGGCCTGCGACAGAGATCAGCAGTGCGGAGGAGGGATGTGCTGTGCGGTCAGCCTGTGGATCCGCAGCCTGCGAATGTGCACGCCGATGGGGAATTTGGGAGAGGAGTGCCATCCTTTGAGTCACCGGGTGAGTACGTCCCGGGGCTGTGGGCTGCCCCGGGCAGGGCAGGGACAAATACAGATATCTGGGAGTCGCATCGCGTGAAGGTTATGCGTGGTGGAAACGTGGGGAAGCATCACGTGCATTGTAATCCAACCATCCGCATCTTTATGGAAATAGTGCTGATACATACCTAAGAAAATGTCTTCAGAATAACTCTGACAGTAATACAATACTACACGCTGTTCAGTTTGTTTTCCTATTAGTTAGTTCTTGCTGATTTGCTCCGTTACATGACCTGAAACATCCCAAGCAGCTCCTGAGCCCAGCCCTGCTCTCGCACACGAGCTGCTGAGCTCCATGGATCTGAACGAGATCCCATCACAGCCACAGATGTGTCACCAGGAGCTGTTGGGATACCCAGCACAGCACTGCAGCGCTGTCCCTGCCATTGAGCAGCGGTGGCACGCTGTGCTCTGGGGACCAAGAGCCGCTGGTGCCTTCCGAGGCGGTAGGGAAGGTGCTGAGACCAAGCGAAGAAGAGCACGGCCCAAGAGCCATCACAATGAGGGATACCAAGGCAATGCATTTAGTTTAGAACTGTAGTCAGCTGCCTCTTTCACACTTCCCTTCAGTGCCTGGCTTCTCAGCTCTGTCTCTCTAGTTAATTTTCTCAGTTTTAGGAAGTGCAAAGCTCTGTTCTATTACAATTATTATTATTTTTTTAAATCTTCTACTGTGGCATTGGGGACCAAATTCTCATTCTTACTGTGAAATGTAGGAATCTCAGGACAAAAGAAACTCCTCTATTATTTATTTTTTAAATGGGCTTATTGCTATTGCAAGATAATTTATACTGTCTGATATATTTTAGGCTAATTACAATCAGGGAAGATGCCTGCCACCCCGGGCTAATGGTCGCAGTCATGGGTGTTGGGAGCTTTATGAGGTTAATTTCAGATGCAGATCCCTCATCCCACTGCTCTTCACGACAAACACAAAGCAAACTGATTTCCTGTAGCATGTGAAATCACGTATATTTAGGGTGGAGAGCTCACTCAACAGCTTCTCTCCCCTAAATACCTGGGAGGGGGCTGCTGGGGACCAGTCGCCCTGACCACCAGCACCTTCCTTGGCCTGCAGGCCACACATGGAGCAGCAGCACCGGGTCGGTCTCTGCACGTGTTGCTCTGCCACTGTGTTTGCACTCCCCTGTTGAAGGCTGTGTATGTGGAATTAGTGCTGCTGGGAGACCAGCCTTGTGCTCCCCTGTCACAGCTGTCCCACCTCTGGTGGCCCCCACGGCCACACCACCGCCTGGGGGACCTCCCGAGAGGTGCCCAGAGGAGATGGCTGGTGGATGGCTTTCCACCTCCTGGTTTCCTTCTCAGCAACTAGATGGCGTTGGCTCGATGCTGTTAGCAGCCTCTCCTGGCACCGCAGAGGCAGGCTTTGCAGCAGGTGAGGGTTGGCAGGACCGCAGGCAGAGCTGGCAGCACCGGGGGGGCTTTGCTGCCATTGTGCACCTTGCACACAGCCCCCGTGTCCCTCCCTTGCCACCTCCAGGCTCCTGTCACCCCCTTGCTCATCAAAATCTGGGGCTGGGCTTGTGATGGGGCAATGCTCCCCATCCCCATAGCGCTGCCACCCGCCCCCTGTCCCTAGCCAGGTGTGTCCCCCCCCAGCTCCAGCGTGGGCGTCCCCCTGAAAGAGCTGTTTCCTTGCTGAGCTTAAGGCTTTGAATAAACCCCTTCAGCTGTCGGAGGCACCTCTGAGTCAGCCGTGCCAGCACGAGAAGCTGAGATTTTAGGTTCTTCTGCAGCGCTGTGCGTGGGCACCTGCAAGGTATGATTCCCGTGGGGAGCTCCTGGCTCCGTGCCCGATGACCTCTGTGCTCGTGCGGAGGCACCAGGGTGGGGGACAGGGGGAAGCCCGCGGCATCCCTCGTGCTGGGCTCCTCTCCAGGGGGTGCTGAGCACCGGCTGGTGCTGGCCTGAGGACCTCGATGTGATAAACAGGTCCTCAGCACGTGATAAACCTGACACCCGCTCTCTCTGTGCCCAGGTGCCCTTCCCGGGGCGGAGGATGCACCACACCTGCCCCTGCCTCCCCAGCCTGGCATGCGCACGGACTTCTCCCAGCAAGTTCAGGTGTTTGCCGGACTTCAGGAAAGAGGACGTCTTCTTCTAGCAGGAGCTGCTCAGCGCGAGGAAGGGCCGCTCGATGTGTTCCTGTTCTTGTTGTCGTGGTGAACAAGGTACTTACCGGGGAACCCCCTCTCACACACTGTCCTGCCTCGCCACCACCCAAACCGACGATGCGATGCTGTGCTGTTGTGGCCAAGGTTTTCTGAGGGGCTGGCGGTGATGGGGTGGGCGAAGCGAGATGTGCTAACGTGACGCTGCTTTCTGAGGACAGGAGCCCACGGTCCTGTTGTCCCCGTGGTTCCAGCATAGCCCCAGAGCGAGAACATCCAAGGTTATCGTCACCTTTGGAAAATTTTGGCCATGTTTTTACACTTTGGGATGCCTGAATCGAACTGAGATTTGAGTAATTCTATGGTGTGAAGCATACGATGATTGCCAAAAACCTGTATTTACATTTCATTTCTTTATTAATATAACTGTCCTTGTAAGTTAGGCACATCTCTACATTAAAAGATTAACCAATAGATGTAGATTTTACACTTTTAAAAAGTGGGAGATGGAACCAAAGCATTTCAGTATTCAAAGCATTAAATATTTTGTTATTTTAGTATTTTAAGATGAGGAAAAGTTGTTGTTACTTGAGTTGGTGTAAAACTACCTGATCATCTCAAACTCTGTATTAAGATGTAGTTTATATTAAAAAAGGAACCCTGAAGTTTCTTGTAATGGGCTGCCTGACTTCTTGTATATGTATGGATTTGCTGTGTAAAAATTCTGTATCAGAATAATGGCAGTATGTTATTTGATTTATTTTAATATTATAACATTATTTTGTCACTGTGGTTTTCAATTTTTATTTGGTGTAATCAGTTATCACGTAACTCAATTCACCCAAGCTAGCAGAGCTCCTTAAAGGTAGCTTAGGAGAAGATGGTGTGCCTCTGCCTGCTGGTAGGGAAGCTCAGCAGTTAACAAGGCATGAACGCCTCAGCCGAGCTGCACTCTTGGATGGAGATGAGGGGGAATATTGGTGGAGCTCACATGAGAGGTTTTTCTTGGCACATGCCTCAAAGGATCAACTTTAGCCTGTCGAACATGTAATTTGTGGGTTTTCTATGAAATACCGTGCGACTTCATGTTTACTCGCCAGTCCCTGTAGCTGGAATCCTAATAGTTTGTGTGAGCTTCGCACATTTTTTGCTCTCAGACATGCAAACATATGCTGAAGCTGGAAAAGTGAAGTCATTCATCCTCCAACAATCAGTGCTTTTGCTGCTGGTGGCAGTGGGGGATTGAGGATTTAGCACGCCTGTATGAAAGCAAACACCTGCAGTACTCAGAGAAGATGAGAAACGTCCCAGCGAGTTTACCAGGCACCTGACACTGGGCTCCAGAGACAGAGAGGAACCACTGGAGCAGCTGTTTTGCCAGATCCTTGTTCATCTTGCACGCATTAGGAAGGGAGGTGTCTAGAGAGATAGGATTGCATCTTCCTGACTCAAAGTGGCCCAAGCCCAGAGCTCCAGTTCTGAAGCCTATGCATTTTGCTGTACCCTTTGCACTGGTGATAGAGCAGCTGCGCAGGGGGCAGCAGGCTTCAGTCCTGTAAATAAATAAATTTAAAAAAGATGGTTTGTATTCGCGTGGTCACGAATGGAAACTCTGGAAAGCTGCCCTGCCCTGACCTGGAGATCACAGACACTGCTGTGAGGAGATGCTTAGGAGGGGCGGGGGTTGCTCTTAACCCAAAGGCTGGGCTTGTCGATGAAAAACCATCTTGTTCTAATCCTAATGCAGAAACCCGGGAGCCTTCACCTGGATTTAAAATCAAAACTAAAACCTGATCCTACCACTGTCACTCAGTGGGCTCCCCAGAGAGTGAGTCTGCAGAGGAGGAACCCAGCAGGAGCCTGGTGTTGCTTTTCTGTCCTCTTCTAGCAGCACAAAGCTTGCTTAGTATCATCACGAGCTTCAGTTCGCACCCAAGGGAAAATCAGGAATGAAAACAGAAGCAGCCCAAATGCGTGTGTCCCATCTCTTATTCCATTCATCTCCACCAAAGCACACCGTCCTGGTGTTCGAAACAATGAGACACAGCAGGAACCACCAGCCCTGCTCCTCGTCTTCCACGGGTGTAAATCACCAGTGACCCCAGTGAAGGTAATCATCCTGGTTTATATCAGCACGAGCGAGCAGGCAATTACATCTGATGACTGCCTTAGACCTGCCAAGCAGGGCTGCTAGGAGAGTTTATCACACAAGAGCAGAGCAACTTTGTAGTTGTAATTCATGCCAATTAACTTGTGGGATCAGGCATTTATCTGGGTAATGAGAAGAGCCCCTGTTACGCTAGAGAAAAATTCACTCCCTGGTCAGGAGGGTGGAGTGCTCGTGCCTGGCAGCCTGTGCTGGTGAGGGCATTAGGAAGGGTTTTTTTTTGAGAGATGCCACCACTTTGCTGTCCTCGAGGGGCTTCTCCCACCCTCCCTGCCTTGGCTGCCCTGCCTGCAGCTGCTGAACAGAAGAGCTAAAGGCAACACCTGTCTGTCCTTTATTTTATTTTTTTTTTCTGCAGTGGAGTGAGAAAAAAAAATAATTTAACTTTGCTTTACAGTGATAAACCAGCGACCACCAGAGTTATTTCAGAACATAAATGGCTGTGTGTGTCCCTCTCCTTTTCCCTTGAGCAGGCTTTTACCTCGAGGGGCACTTTGCCCACGGTGATGGATGCAAAAGGTGGCCAGCCCCAAGCCAGCCCTGCCATTAGAGGTTTTTTCAGGGAGTTGTGCTACTCAGTTTGCCTCAACATCACCCCAGTGCTGCCTCCAGGCCAGGAGCAGCCCCCTCACATGCCTGCAAGGAAGGGAAGGGGGCAGGCCCTTGCAGCAGAAATCAGACAAGAAAAGAGTGCAAAACTCCCACAGTCCTAGAAACACCTTTGAAGAAGGGAAAAGTCTCATTCTCAGCACACACAGCTTGCCAGGTGCTGGAGAGCCTGCTGTTAATGCCTGGCTTTATTCACTCTGCTTAGGAGAGCTGTGCTAATGCTCAGCTTAATTTGATTAATACTGGAGCAATATTATTAATTATTAATACAAACATGTGTATTAATTTTTAATGTTATATTAATATTGATATTACAGATATGTTACAGAATAATGATGATATCACACCAAATGGGAGGAATTTCCATGTTTTTCACTAGGTTTTGGCTCAGCGGGAAGGGACACCACCATACACAACAGGCTGCTGCCTTCGTTTGGTTACGTGCTTATTAGGAGGGGTGAAGTGAGGTGCTTTGGTCTGTGGGTGCACAGGTGGGAGGGCAGGTGTGCACCTGTAAGCCTGCGGGCTGGGGAGCAGGAGAAAACCCAGCTGAGGCTCAACCTCATCTGCATCCTCCTGCCCACAATTCTCCCCTGGGAAAGGTTGTCACTGCTTAAAAAAGGTTGCAAAGTCTTTGAGCGTAGGGGTGGCACAAAATAAATCCTCCTGGTTCCTTGGCAAGTGGGATTCAGCTCTGAGCAGGTCTATAGTGTGGAGACAGATAACCCTAACTGCACTGGCTGTACAGGAGGGGTAAGAGAAGGGAGAAGAGTCAATTTAAGGATAGAGGTCATGCTGCAGGTTTGGAAAGCTCCAAAGAAGAGCGTGTACCTGTGTGGGGCAACTCTAAGGTAAGTGGAATGCATGGTTGTGGTTTTGTTCCTATGTCTGTGTAGGTAACCTGGAAGTCCTGCATTTCCCATTATATTGTAGCTCTAGCACGTAGGGTGATCTCATAATGTACCTCATAAAAAGGCCCTTTGCTGGCCTGCCTTGTCAGCATAACGAGCCGTAATGATATACAGCACCAGCGAGCGGGACTGCAGCCTGAGGGCCTCGCGGGTGCCCTCCCACCCCAGTAGCTCTCTGATTTGTTATTACTGCACAGATGGAAACTCAAAAGAAACAGAAGGTGCTAAGAGTCCCTTGATTTAAACAAGATGTCTCAGGAATTTGATCTTGACAATGTGTAACATGTTTTCCAGAAGGAATTAGAAAATTGCAGGAAGAGAAAAGACTGTGCAAATACAGGAGGATTTTGATAATAGCAAAATCAATGTGCCTCTCTCTATTAGATAGAAACGAAATGCCAAACCAGCAGGGGTGCAGCTGTTAGACTGATCAATGCTCTGAGCACGGGAAGGGAGATGAGTTTAATGCACATCAAACTTACAGCAGATCATCTGCTGCTTGTCAGGGAGAGCCGCAGCTGCGTGTGGAGCCAGCCCAGGGCAGGAGGCTGCTTTTTGCTGGTTTGGTGGGGAGGAATTCCCCGTGATCCAGCTGCCTGCAAGGACAGACGGCAGCCTTTGGGTCTCCTGGGGCTGTGGGGAGCCTCCAGGTGCAGGAGGCTGGAGCAGAGCGAGCCCAGCCTGCATGGAGGGAGGGCGGCGTGCTTCGCTTCATGGTGCAGGCCTCCGAGGCCTCCCCGCCGCTGAGCCTCCGCCACCAGCTCACAACACGTGGAAGGGATTAGATGTGGCTTTAAATGCAAGGCAGCTCTGTAAACCCCACGGCTGTAAGGCTGCTCAGCGGCAGACTGGAAGTGTGGCCGGGTTCCAGCGACGCGAGCAGGACCCAGCCCTCCTTATGTACTCTTGCCCTCGCACACGTGAGCGTGCTGCATGCTGCTTCGTGTGGGTGGACACGGTCTTGCTGTGAGGAGCTCACGGATGGGCAGAGCTCCTGTTTGCTTCAGGGGGTGCCTGCTGGGGCCTCTCTCCATTTATTCCTCTGTTAGTGTACGGCAGAGCCCATCTCTGGAACAGCCAGCCCGAGGGGAGGCTCTGGTGAGGCAGCTGCAAGCATGCTCGGCCTCTCCAAAAATTTCTCTGCATCCTGTCAAGTCAGCAGATCTTTCCTCCAAAAATTTCTTCTCTCACGTGGCTGAAACTTTTAACAGGAAGGCACATACCCCTGCTCCTTTCAATTCCATGGCAAAGCTTCCTGGCTGCTGAGTTGTCATAACTTCACCTCCACCTTGGTCTCATTGAACTCTTCAGCATTGCTAACAAACCTTTCACGTATTGCCACAGAGCCCTCCATTACCTGGGTGTGGTTTCCAGCAGCGCTTACACTCAGATACTGCACAAACAGAGCAAGGAGAAGGCCTCCTGGCTGAGTGTTTGGGATCTACTGGGAAGAATCACAGGGACATCCATGCCCGGCTGTGTGCAGGTCCTGCGGGGCCTGGTTTCTGCCACCTCCACCATCTTGGCGCCCGGAGGCAGCAGTAGCGTCGGCCTGGCCGTGCCCTCCTCCCTGCCATGTCGTGGCTCCGAATTGTGTCCCCACATGCAGCACTGCCAGCTCCTTGGCTCAGGTGCCTGCCTTCTCCCCCTTGAGTCACCATGAACAGATTGCACGGCCATCCACCTTCCTCCACACCCAGATGTCTCCTGTGAGGCCCGCTGCCGGGGCAGCTCGCTCCACAGGGATATCCCCTCTGCACCCTCCTTGGTTCTGGTGCTGGTTTGTGAGACCTGAGGAGAAGGGGAAGGAGCAGAAAGAACCCGGCTGATTTACTCAGCTATCGAGCTCGTCAACTGCTTCCTTTCCATCACCCTCCTTCAAGCGCTCGGGTGACAGATGGGAACAGATTGAGCGGTTCGACGGAGGGAGGTAATATTCTACTAAATCATTCCTCGCTCTCTCACTGTCTGAAAGCACCCAGACCTCAGCCCTGGCTTCTGAGCCTGGCGTATTTCCCCCCTCTGGATTTTTTTTCATAACAAAGCCATTTGAGCTCTACCTCTGCTAAAATTTCCAAGAGAAGCCGGTGCTGGTATTTAT